GTCCAGACAGGGGTCTGGCCGGATGTACGGATTGGTCCGGTGTTCGGGTCCGGCGTAACCATGGAAAAAAGAGCCTTGAACACACCGGAGCAGTTCGGTTTTTCAAGGACCAGGCAGCACACTGCATCGGAAGAGCACGAAAACTTACTCCTGAATCTTGTGAACCACAGGGCTGTCGCTGGTCTCCCATGCGTCTCGAATATCTTCGGCAACCTGATCTTAAGCACACAAAAAGTGGGAACGCAGGAAACCGCCAGTAGGATCAATTAGCCAGACGACACATGATGAAGTGCTCTGATGAGCATATGATGTGCTTCCTAGTTTGATTCATCACTAGGCACAAGAACTCTTGAAATTAAAAACGAAGAGCAACTCACGAAATCTCACCAATTCAAGTTGCCAACAACCGTGCCTACGTTTCTCTGTGCTGATCTACAGAACAATCGCAGTTGGAAAATGCCCATGTGCATTATGATGACAGCATGCGCTTAGCAAGCAAACGAAAAGAGATGTGGCCACTGACCCTTAGCAGCAGAACGAACTTTAAATGTGAATGCCCGCGCCATTTGAACACAGAAACAGTTCACGCTGGCCCAAGGGCCAACATCGTTGAATGAATCCAGCCTCTCCCAGTTCACCACAACACCAGAAACGTTTGCCTTGTCATAACGTACTCGAGCTTCAAACCAATGTCCTGGAAAGCAGGGAGTATGCCTTCGTGATTCTCCAAGAACACCAAGAAAACTCAACACAGCTTTACGCAAAATAGCTAAAGTGAGATTAACCAATCAAAAATGATGTTATTGCAGAAACTTCAGGAGGAGGCCGTAATTTACAGGAGCACTCGCTCCATTGGCATCCTTCCTATATAGTCATCCTGCTCACATACAACGCATGTTTTGCTCGCCGTAAAGACCAGTAGAGGTAACCGATGTCTTCGCTCCACATCATCCTTCCACGTCACCATGCTCGCTCCATGTCATCATACCATGTCATAAGAATCTGTCTTTCATCTCATCTTCCTGTCAAAGTCCTGAACATCATGTATTTTCTTTTTTTTTTCTTCTTCTTTTTTTAACTCCAAACAGGGTTGCACACCCCCACCGTCGGCGACCCTTGACTGGTCGGATGCCGATCCGCCGACCGGTCGGCTGGTCGGAACCTACTGGTCGGGGGTCGTCGGCACCCCGCATTTTTTATTTTTTATTTTTTTTTTTTTTGGGGGGGGGGGGTCCAGAACCCCTAATAATATCACCAACACCCCCATAGCAGACCCCAATACCCCATATACCACCCCTACAGCCCCGAACAGCCGCCAACACCCTTATTAAACCATCCATAACCCCCTACATCACCCCTATACTCCGGTGCATCACATGCGCGCGAGGTCCGCACTTGCGGCGCCTAGTGCACGCGCAACCACGCACGCACACCCCAATAAATAGAGTTAAAAAAAGTTTGGGGAGGGCTGGCTGAGGTAGCCAATGGTGCCCCTCCCTTCTAAAATATCAAAGGGCACAGGAAAGAAAATTGAGCATACGAATTCCTTGTTGAATTGTCCTTTTCCCGAAGGACCCCAGTGCATCTGCAAAGGTCCCAACGTCTCAAGAGACGTTCAGCAAATGTCGTGTGAGAATGGAGCAGGCCAGCAATATATGTTCTGGATCCGAAGTCAGGTCTGCTTTCCAGCAGTTATGGGTTACACGTTACAACTACTTACTACCGTAGCTCTCTCTTTCTTTTGTTTCGTTTTCCTANGGATCCGAAGTCAGGTCTGCTTTCCAGCAGTTATGGGTTACACGTTACAACTACTTACTACCGTAGCTCTCTCTTTCTTTTGTTTCGTTTTCCTACGAGCAGTGGCCCTAAGGGCCTTGCTCCACCCGTCACTACTTGCAGAAAAGACAAAACATATGGCGGTGTATGAGTCCATGTTCTAGCAGAAGATTCATTACTCTGTTTCTTTTGTTTCCTTTTCCTACAAGCAGTGGCCCTAAGGGCCTAGATCCACTCGTCATCACTTGCACAAAAGACAAAACATATGGCGACGTATGGTTCCATGTTCTAGCAGAAGATTCATTCCTCTCTTTCTTTTGTTTCCTTTTCCTACGAG